AGGATAAAGCTGGTCAGTCTCCACTTCATTACGCTGGCAGACATTATGAGATATCAGTGTATCTCATTCAATCTGGTAATATTCATCCTGAAGACAAAGACAGTAATGGATTCACTGGTCTTCATGCTGCCTGTCAAGCTGGTAACATGCGATTGGTAATACATTATCTGACAAAGCTAAACTGCAGTCCTAATTTAGAAACACACGATTCTAGAGGTCTCTTATATTTTGCATGTTTAAGTGGTCACTTGGAAATGGTTCGTACTTTAATGGAAAAGTTTAATTTGAAACCAGTTCAAGGGGACATTGATGCAGCCCAGTCAATCAAAGGAGGAGAATCTATAGTCAAATTGATGCTCAGACGCTTTTACTTTATAAAATTAGTACAAGAAATGATTAAAGAGGCAGAGAGAAGACAAATAATGCCTATAGCTACTAAACCTCGTCCTTCATTTTTATCTTGATGCTACACATTGGCACAGTTTTCTTGCTTGTACTTATTTTATTTTTCATTTTGTTTGCCTTGTTCGTTTTCCTTGGAATCGTTTCAATTCTTTTGTACGTATTACCAATTTACCACACCACACTCTTTCTCTACTACACCTTCACTTCTACACATGCACATTTGATTGTTTCCTTTCTTCATTATATCAACACTATGGCATCTAATCTCTCTCTCATTAACTTTAATATACCTTCAAGAAAAATGGAGACTTCTTGTTAGGTTTTTTTTTTTTATTTTTGCAGCAGGACAATTTTTCCCTTTTTTGGTGATGTTTTTTTACAGTAAAGTAATGCTCATTTATTTACTATTTCTATTGGCAGTTTTTATGCAATATGCAGCATTATGATGATTTCCTCTGGTTTATTATTGTTATTTTTGTTATTATAAATCATTCATTGTTGTATTGTATATTATGTTGTATTATTTATGGGCATTAATAGTTTGTGTACTTGTTTCTGCTCCACTTTTTATTGAAATAAGATTCCTTTTACATGCCATAGCTTTTATGCATTGACTTTCATCGAGTGTGTTTACATGCATTGACAATGGTAATTTAATTTATCAAAGTATTGTGTCTATATAGTTATTATTATTGCTATTGTCACTATTAGTGTTGTTTATTAGTGTTTTTATTATTTTCTTCAATAACTATATTTTTTATTTATAAACTTTATTTTATCAGTATTAGTATTGTTATAGCTAGGCTACTAACTTCATTCTTCATTTTTATCTTCTTAAATTATAATTATAAAATAGCTATTTTTTGTAATTTTTCTGCTACATTTATTTATTAATTTGAAACACTTTTACATTATCAAGAAAAAATTTTTTAAAGAATCTATTGTAAGTTCAAAATGAATACCAACAGTAATAATAATATATAATAGTAATAGGGTTACACAGTCAGCAGTTAACTATTACTATATTTTTGTTAGCCTCCTCATCAATTTTTTTTATCAATCACTCAGTGAAATTTATGTATCATTAACATTTAACTTTGTTATTCGAGAGAGAGAGAGCAACCATTATCACACCACAGACTGAAACAAAAAAAGCCACCAAAGTAAAGACTAATATTTTTTCATGCCTAGAGAAGAGAGGAGATTAAAGGGAGAGGGAAAGAGAATTGTATGCTTTCAGTTTTGATCATTTTAATATTTGAAGTTGTACCTTGATCTCTCTGTATAGTAAAATACCCCAAACTGGACTAATAAATCCAGGGCCCTAATAGAATAAACATGTATATACAGTACATCTAATTTATTATTGATATAAAAAGTGTGGGATAACTGGTAAACTTACCGCTGTAATGATTGGGAAACTAACAGCTAGTGATAAATTCTCATTAGCTACAAAGTAGCCAGCTAAAGAGAGGAAGATGCCACATGACAGTCCCATGATGACTCACTCATTGCTATCCCCATATGATGCCACTTGAGAGTTGGCAGGATGACTTTAGGATAAACCTTAGGTCTGTTCCTCATGTCCAGAAAGTATTTACTAAAAGAAGATACCAGTGAAGTGACTAAAGATATAATCAAGCTCTGGAATAAAAGAAAGAGATAGCAAAAAGAGGTACCAGTAACTGAATATATTAGAAGTGGTAATATACATTGTACAATGTACATTAATATACATGTATGTGTACATGTATGCACCATAAATGAAGTTAGTATCTTACTGTTGCATGAATGAGTGTCATCTTCGTATAATCTCATAAATTCAACTGCTAAAAATTGAGTGCCAAATAAAAATCCAATATCTACCTAATGCCATACTAAAACCACTGTAGGAGAAAAAGAAAATGTACATATAGTACATATGTACTACATGTATTATGATCATTGATTCATTGTAATGCAGTTAGATGCATATGTACATGTACTTCTAATATTTGTTTTTACTTACACAATTTTTTGCTGCCATTTCACTAACTTGTCAACCCAGGAGTAGTCCTCATCTTTTCCAAGCACTTACTGATTGTTATAGTGTTGCTTTGAACTGTAACTCCATTTTGATAGTACAAGGTAGCATTAGTATTCAGTGTCTTATTTAATGGAAATTGAACAACAAGTGAAAAGTTATTATAAGAACTATTGCTTATGGATACATTTGTTGTTGAAAAACAGTTATCCTTAGTACATCCTTTCAATGTAATGTTCACTAGTGGTGGTACATTAGTACAAAACTGAAAGTAAACATAACTGCATTATACTTCTATTTGGATAAAAATTAATAGCACTACAGCCTAAACAAACAAATATCAACTATGCATGGTAGCTTACAGATACAATGAAATGTAAAGTCCAATTTACATTCCCTCTTTCCTTATCAGTTACATATAACTGTACATCTACTGTATAGAATAATCACTTTAGGCTCTCAATAAGTATAATTACTTACTTGATTGAAATCCAACAGTTATGTCACTAATAGACCCATTCCCAGCTTTATTTGTAGTTGTAATGTTAAACAGATATTGTTTATTGGTTGGGTTCATTGGACAGTAAGTCTAGTTAGTGATAGAGTCATTAATGTACTGTTGATCAGTTCCTACACTGATTATATACTGTACTGTTAGTCCTGGTAGTGTGAATGGAGGATACCAACTGATAAACATACAACAAGAATCTAACTGATATCCTGTTAAATTACTGACACTATCAGGTGGACCTGGGAATGATAATAAAAATTGTTGAATTGACTAGCTGATACAAATGATGTACAAGTAAAAGTGTAACACCAGTGTAGACTGAATGAATGTTTGAGTACAGTCCCTTCATTAATCAACATTATACTGACCTTGTACATATAGATATGCTGCTTCAGTGGTAGCTTTATTGTATACTATACAGGTAACTTCTGTACCATTTACTTTACTTGTTGCTGTTAGGCCTGAGTGATGTCATTCCAGCACCAGAGAGGGAGGAGGATACCGAACCATCAACTGATGGATTAATCACAAAAGAGGGATTAAATTGAGTCACATTAATAGCACATTCAAATATCATAGTATCATTGACATATACATATTGTGTCACTGGTACAATAATGAATGATATACTTGCACCTAAAGTATTGAAATCCAACAATTTTAAATATCAATATCAGAACTAACCAGAAAAGCAAATTTGGCAGAGTATTATTACAGCAGCAACAAAGGCCATCATCATGTTGTTCAGTGAACCACCAATGCAGTACAGTTTGTTTTGTGACTTTATACCTCACCATACTGACTGTACCCATAGCCAAAATAAATTATTTTAAATAATTATTATAAGTATTTTCAAGGTTATATAGTCTGGTATACGTAATTACAATCTAGTTCCTTCAACTACACCATAAGCGGCACATTCTTCCATTGATTGTGGAACTGGTAGATATACAATCTCATACTGTAGATTAACTGATGATAGTTCTTGCTTTTGTGAACCTGTATGTATAATACAATTCATCAAAGTAAATCTTTAGCATAAATTAACATATTTTGCCCATTCTTCTCTTTCCTCTTGCAGTAACACACAGTTAATGTAATAACATTAATAATTTTTTCTGATGCATCTACATGTTCTTATGTTGCATAGAAAGTTTGAGCTGATTTCAATGAAAATTGGATTTTTACAAACTTTTAAAGTTGTTCAAAAATTGGCCCAAAGTCCCTGTGACTGTCTATAATTGGAGCCACTGTGACTGCTGCACACAAATTTGCATTCATTTATACAGAGGGATGGTATAGCGTCAACTTACTCTAATACAATAAAAGTTGTCAATTAATGAATAAATTACATTAATATTTTCATTTTTCTTTAATGTTATTAATCACTTCTATTCTTCCTCTTCTCTTTTTAAATCGAACTGTTGCTGCTACCACTACAATTACTATAACAACTACAATGTACATATTAATGACAACATTTGATTATAATGTACATACCAATTATTATAATTAGTAGTGAAATTGATATCCCAGAACCCAATTCAATAATTGATGGTGAAGAAGATGTGAATGAAGGAGCTATGAATGAAAGATCTGGGGATGAAGAAGTTATGAATGAAGAAGTTTGAGATGAAGTATTGGATAAAGAAGATACTGATGACAAACTTAAAAATGAAGAATGTATGGATGAAGATGAAGAAGTTAGGAACAATAAAGTAATGGATGAAGTAGTTGAAATACCTATATTATACAGTGAAGTACATTATAACTACACAAATGAACATACACTGTACCTGTCACTAATGTACTAGTTAATCTAGAGGTAGGAATAATAGTAGAGGCACTTATTATAGGAGTATCTGTAGTACTGCTTATGATGAAGGTACTTGAAGCAGGTACTATTGAAGTAGTTGATACCAGAGAAATAGTTGATGCTGAGGAACTAGCTGGAGTATCTATAGTATCATTTATGATAGAGCTACTTGAAGCAGGTACTATTGAAGTACCGGTAGTTGATACCAGAGAAATAGTTGATGCTGAGGAACTAGCTGGTACTGATGAAGCAGTTGGTATCAATGAAGCAACCAGCACTGATGAAGGAAATGTTTCAAATTCAGACATTATTAATGAGATTGGTACAGATAAAGTAGGCATTCTTGTTAGTAAAGACGTCATTGATGAAGTGGTTGCAATAGATGATGAAGTAGCTAGAATTATTGAATTAGTTGCAATTGTTAAAGTTAAAGTAGTTGATACTGGTGAAGTAGTGGGTATTGGTGAAGCAGACATTATCAATGGTACAGACATCATTGATGGAGTAGTCAATACTGTTGATGTGAGTGATACTAATGATGAATGAACTGATGACATTAGAACTGAAGATGTAAAGTCATCAGTAATATTAATATCAGTTATTACAGCAAGAGGATTAGATTCACAGTTCTTTATGGTAGCTAACTCACATGCATACAATCTTAAGTTATTACCAGCTGGTATGTCATCAATACACTGAATAAAGGTGAATTGATTATCAGGAGATATGAGGTAAGACTCAGTATAGTTCATATTATCAGTGAAAAGAATAACATCACTATTAGGTGTACTGCCATTGATATACTGAAACTGAAGACAAACAGAATTTGATGTGATATTAATCAATGTAAATTTCTGAAGATCATGAGTACCTTAAAATAAGTAAAATAATGTCATAATGTATTAATTTGTATTACTTACTGATTATTATAGTGTTGCTTTGAACTGTAACTCCATTTTGATAGTACAAGGTAGCATTAGTATTCAGTGTCTTATTTGATGGAAATTGAACAGCAAGTGAAATAATATTATTATAAGAACTATTGCTTATGGATACATTTGTTGTTGAATAACAGTTATCCTTAGTACATCCTTTCAAAGTAATGTTTATTAGTGACGCATTATTGCAAAACTGATGAACCTAAAAAGAATACATAGTCATGTTGTCTTAAACAGATAATCACAACAATTAATGGAATGTGATTATTAAGAATCTATTCTTAGCGTAGAAACTTACAGATACATTGAAACGAAAAGTCCAATTTACTTTCCCTTTTTCCTTATCAGTTACATATAACTGCACATCTACTGTATAGAGTAATCACTTTAGGCTCTCAATAAGTATAATTACTTACTTGTTGATTGAAATCCAACAGTTATGTTACTAGTAGATCCATTCCCAGCTTTATTAGTAGTTGTAATGTTAAACAGATATTGTTTATTGGTTGGGTTTATTGGACAGTAAGTGTAGTTAGTGATAGAGTCATTAAGGTACTGTTGATCAGTTCCTACACTGATTATATACTGTACTGTTAGTCCTGGTAGTGTGAATGGAGGATACCAACTGATAAACATACAACAAGAATCTAACTGATATCCTGTTAAATTACCGACACTATCAGGTGGACCTGGGAATGATTAAAAATTACAATAAGTATGTGTTATACTGACCTTGTACATATAAATATGCTGGTGGAGTGGCAATTGGTGCTCCAATGAGTCGTTGGGTAGTGCAGATTACACTTGTACCATTTATTTCACTTGTTGCTGTTAGTTTGAGTAACATCACTTTTTTACCATTTAGTAATGATAATAATGATACTAAACCTATAACTGGTGGATAAGTCACAAAAACTAGATCAATTTGAGTCAATCTGTTAGATCTAGCACATTCAAATGTCACAGTGTCATTGATATAAGCATATTGTGTCACTGGTACAATAGTGAAGATACTTGCACCTAAAATAGTTCAAATTTTTTAATATAAAATTAGAATTTTACCAGAAAAGCAAATTTGGCCGAGTATTGTTAGAACAGCAACAGGAGCAGCAAAAGAAACAGCCATTATTGAGCCCTCCCACGCAATTTGAAGGTGCTAGAAACATTAGTGTGTGAAAAGAAGGCGTGGTGTGGTAGGAGTATATTATGTCGTCTGCAGAGTTCAGTACCGGATCTGAGGACAAGAGAAGAGATTCATGATTACCTGAAGGACCTGTCAAGCCAGCTAGGCCTCTCATTGTCTGATCCTCAGTTTGCTGTAGCTCTTGACTCACGCGATCAGTTGAAAAAATTAAGAGAAGAGTTTAACGCTGATGGTAGAAAACCAAGAACAACTATCATTATATTAACGATGCCTTATGTAGACCTTGATTTGTCTGCTGAGTGTATTTATTTGGTTGGAAACTCCCTAGGACTACAACCAAAGAATGCCAAAGAACTCAGTTCTATTTAATGAAATGGACAAATGGGGGGAAAAGTGAAAATACAATTAACGCCAATTAACATTTATAGATTATTTAACACTATTCATTTTTCTTTTTTTTTTTAAAGAGGATTGTATGGTCATATGGATGGGACTTACGACTGGTAGATACTCAATAGTTTACAATGGTATTAAAATTTTTTGAATGAAATTTTTTTTAATTGTTAAAATTTACCGAATCCAGTCCAGCACTCACACTAACTCTAAAGTCTATTACCCTCTACTATACCATAAGCAGCACACTCTACCATTGATAGTTCCGACTGAGGAACTGTTAATGTTACAGTCTCATACTGTGGGAATCCAGCACTCTCTGTTACATTGTAAGCAGCACATTTTTTACTGGTAGTTCATAGTCTCCCTTTGACTGTAGAGATGGTAGATCTACAGTCTCATACTATGGGAATCTATAGTACCTTCCACTACACCATAAGCAGCACATTCTTCCATTGATAGTTCTGATTGTGGAACTGGTAGATCTAGATGTACATTCTCATACTGAGGATTAACTGATGATAGAATTCTTTCTTTAATTTTTAGAAAAATTTGACAAATGACCCTGTAATAAAGCACATGCACTTAGCCCAATTTAGAGCAACTTAAAAAAAATTGTAAAAAATTAAATTTTTACTGGCATCAGCTCAAACTTTTACCAAAACATATGTATACATGCATGTGTATCATGAAAAAATTTTTACATGTAGAATTCTCTTCTTTTTATCCTTGAGAAAATTTTTGGCCGATGACTCTGTAGGGCCTTTGGCCTTTATAGTGTTTGAGTAACTTTTAAGAAATCTAATTTTGACTGGAATTAGCTCGAACCTTTTTACACAACATAAGTACATGTGTGTGTATCAAAAAATTATAAAAATAAAAAATTCTCTTCTTTTAATTTTTAGCAAAGTTCAGCCAATACTGCAATTAATGCTTAGAGGCTTCAAGGTAATAATATTATTTATCTTGGATATCATTGTTTATCAAGTGTGTGATCACTGATCAATAAAATATATTAAAAAAAACAAACAATTATTGAAAATTAATGTAATGCATTATGAAAACTGACATATGGAATACAGGATTGTAGGGGAAGATGGTTTCTATCTGGTACTGTTTCTTGAACAAGGACCCATGTCCAAACTATAGTATTAAACTATACTTTAAAGCAGTTTTAATCAGTGGTCATCAGTAGAAAATTCCTTCAGCATAACTTCACATCCTGATGCATGATTCCCTTCTATAATTTTCCGTTACTTTTTTGACAGATTAGCACAGAGGGAATCCTACTTTTATTAACTTTTGTACTTACTTAGTGTATGGTTTTGGGCCAAATTTTGCCAAAATTAAAAAGAGAATTATAATGTTTTCTGATCCATATACAAATTAATTCTTATGTTGTGCCAAATTTTGACAGCTACAATGTATGATCAAGACTCATACGAGCCATATCAATGGACTAATTTACTCCTTAATAGTTTATTGACAACTCTCAATAGTATAGATTCACTGCAATAGCTGGAGTGAGTCATGTAGTTTAGGACACTTTGAGACAAGATTTGTAAGACCTGCAATTGAGAGAGGAAATGCCAAATCAATAACACAAAAGAAAGGTATAAAAGGTGTATACTGCTTCATGTACATGCATAGTCAAGAAATATTGGACTATGTGTAAAGCCTTACATAATGTTGTTGTAAAAATGAATCTAAAAGATTGTCATACCATGTAGATGGGTACAGAACATGAAGCAACTCAAGCAAGAAAATACACTCAGCTAGTTTCGGCCAGCATTAATCTTGGACAGTATGCTCAAACTTTTTTTGACGAGGAAATATATGGGTTTCTGCTTTTCTCAGCCAATTGTGAAGAATTTTCTGACCTTGGAGTATTTTAGTACTCCAATTGCAGTATAGTTTAGATGAGAGCTACAAGGCATTGATAAGGAAGAATTAATCCAATTAAACCAGCACAAGAAGAAGCTAGATTCTGCAGGCATTGATGTAAACCTGTTGTTATATGTGCATCATGCAGAAAGAATAACTTAAAGAATTATTGAAGGAGCTAAGTATTTCTAAAGCTCTGGATAGAACCAGGTTTAAGAATGCTCTTAAAGAGCTATCATTGAGCTCACCTGCTGGACAGAGTCATCACTCTTTTCCTAGCGACATTGCTATTCTACTCATGTTTAGCAGAATTCTACTATTTATTATTCTTGTTGTCGTTGACATTACTTGTAAAATTTTAGACTTTCTTATCATAGTTAATGTAATTTGTACTTACATTTAATATAGTTTGTTATTATTTTATCAGCAAAGCTACAGAAAATAACAGATTAATGTGTCATGCATCTTTAAAGTTTAGTTTTTCACATCTGTAATAGTAAAGACTGTGAATTGAAACTATAATCAATACACTAATGATTTCACATTTAATGCAAACATGAATATTATCATTTGTAACCTGTAACATAGACAAATGGTTATACTTTTTTAAAAACAGTTTACATGCCAATGTTGAAAGTATACTAAAAAGAGATAGAGAACTTACAAAAGAATAACAATAACATTCTTATAAAGCCAAGTAAAGAAGACCCTGAATGCATTAGTCATGGCCAACTGCAAGAAGATTCTCTACATATTACTGGCTCTCTTTGTGGTATCACTAAATTCAAGAGGCAATGACAAGTGCATTTATTTAACAAATTCAGCATCTTTGGTTTATCATCTCTGTGGAGAGGGAAGGTCTCTTCTACAACCAGGTACTCACTTATGTCTCTTGGTAAATGTATCCTACGATTTGAATATGGTTAAGTCTTCTTTTTGTTTGGTTTCTAATATTATTAATGTCACAATACAGAGTGCATCAGCTGCTGTCAGAGCCAATATTACATGTTCAAAACCAACTGGTCTTGGTTTTTATAACTCCAGTGGGTTACAAATTGAGAATGTTGACATATATCAGTGTGGAGGAGCAATGCCTTCTATAGCTGAGCTTTATCCTAGTAATGATAGGGCGTTCTATTTTCCCAAAGGTCAGTCAATAACACTGCTATTTAGTCATTTGGAAAATTTTTCACTTTTTAATGTATCCATTAACAGCTTTTATGGATATGGAGTTGTTTGCATTAATCCTTACAAAATCTTCAAAATATTTGCAGTCAATATAACCTCAACCGAAAATCGTACAGTAAGGCCTGGCAATAATACTAACTGTGGTGGGACTGGGCTACTCTTATACTTCTCAAACTACACAACCAAAGAACAAGTTATAGCTAAAATATCTAATTTAGCTCTCATAAATAACTGGAATTTTGACACTAGAATAAGTCATTTGTCCTATCCAAAAGTAATAAATACTTTTGCTTCTTGTGCTACAGTATTGTTCAGTGAAGGTAATTATCATGTGTCTGTATTATTTGAAAGAAGCTTTTGGAGAGGCTGTTACGGTAGCTTGTACAATGTAGCCATTATTGCCAGAGATGCACCAGTTGGAAAGACACATGTAGCATTTGACAATGCATTCTTTTTTGAAAATGATATCATGTACTCAAGAATTAGTGTGATAGGATGCTCTGTTGAATCACGACACAAAAGAGGTAAAAACAGCATTGATCTAAAAGAGAAGTGGAACTTTCTTAGCATCAAGGACAGTTATTTTCGCTTTAGCTCTTCTTCAGTTTTAAAGACGTACACTAGCAGTGAGCATTTATTCTTTAATGTCACCGTTGACTCTAGTGTTGAGGCATATGTAGCTGTTGCTCTGCTGAATATTTATTGTAAGAAAACTAATTTTCGTTATCACTCATCAGTTATATTTGCAAAAGTAACAACAAAAAATATCAAAAATCGACAGAGAAATCTTATTTTAGAAATAAAATCATTCCGAATTGGTGATCGTCAATTAAAAATTGCTTCGAAAATAAGGGTAGACAACATAGGGAAGCTGATCTTTGTCAATGTAGGCAATGTCACTATTTATGGTAATAACAACCTGCAATACATCAGTGGATCAGTTATACTTGCTTGCAACTCAGATATTTATTTACATGGTAACATAACATAAC